ATATATAAATGTTTGTCAGGTTTTCATTAATGTCTTTTATCTCTAGTTGAAAAAAGCTGATACAGGATCTAATCTGTATTCCAGTTGTTTTCTTTTATATTTTTGTTTGGAAAGTAAGTGGTTGCAAGGTTAATTTCAATTTCAATATGGTACTGGCCAGAAAAACTGACAGAGGTTTTGTCTTTTACACAGAGGGAGTGCAGCTACTGTGCCTAATAGACAAGGCTGCGGATGCCTGCCGTTACCTGCAGACATACAATGAGTGGAACCATGCAGCATGGCTTGCCAAGGTTAGTAACATCCAGGTTCTACAGCAAGAAATCTAATGGACCCACCACTTTGCGGTACTCGTAGTGAACTGGAGTGCATCTACACTTGAAGCGGGGCTCCCCCCACATTGCAAGAGTCAAATGCTCATTTTTGTCTAGGGTTAAAAAAAAAAAAGCACTTTTACTTACCTCATCCCTGCAGGCTTCAACCCTGTTTCCTGAAGCCCCTTCTCTTTGATGCTTTACCTGCATTCTGACGTCATCCCCTACAATGCAGGATCAGCAGTCCTGCACTGTAACATGAGGATGTCAAGGGCCCATTGGCAGCCCAGAGTGTCAGAAGGAAGAGGCTACCACGACGTAAGGGATAACGTAAGTAATGCTGCTTTTTGTTTTTCACCTTATCTTAGATACCTTAGATGAAAATTAGAATAAAAACTTATCTGTGCAGTGGGAGACCTATTGCAAAGACGTGACGTCTTTCTGCCTTGAGGAAGGTACCCTGCGCGGTCCCGAAATGTCGGCTTTTTTTTATCACTTTGACGATTTTGTCCAATAAAAAGGACATATTCATCTTTACTACTGAGTGCTGGTGATCTACTTTTTTGTTGTGTGTTTTGCACGGCGCCATCCATGATTATCACTGCGAGCACCATCTTTCTTGTTGGCCGGGACTGCTGTGAGGTGTGCGGAGGGCTCCCCCATCGATTTACAACTATTGCAAGTTTCTTGTAATTTCCCCAGTGTTCAGCATTATTATCCTAAAACAAAAAAAACTGCTACTTCTAATTTCAACAGTGTAGCAAAGCAGCTCTGAGACACCAGACAGCTGCCCCGCATGCCTCAGTATGATACAGCCTAGCCCAGGGAAATCCATTGTTTCTCAATTCAGGTTGAGCCATGCAGGTGCTTCAAAGGAATAGCTTTGCCGAGGCAGGGCTGTGTTGCAGCCTGGTCACCTTAGCTAGAACAACTGATCAGGGAGATATCTGCCAAACTGCATTCGGAGGGCATGGAACTGTTTTTTTTTTTTCTGCTTAAAAACCTTATTAAAGCAAACCTGTAATGGCCATTCAGTTGCTGGATACCAGGCATGGTAAGGAACCTGTACTTGCCTTTCACATGTTCACCTGCCAGAACACCAAGAAAAGCCTGTTTTCTCCAGGTATTGTTCCCACAATGCAGTGCTAGATGCCTAAGCAGCCAATCGCAAGGCTTGAGAACTGTTGCAGAGTTGCAGGAGAGTATTAGGCTTGTGCAAGCCCAACCTATAAAATAGTTGAAATTATTACAACTATTGAGGGGCTATTATGGGGAAGCAAGAAAATGTGTGGAAGGCCAGTACAGGCTTCTTTCAATGACTGCTATGCAAATGTTTCTTTTGCCTGGTATGGGCCAAGTACAAGTTTGCTTTATAAAATACTACTGCTCTGTAAAATAAAGTTTTTCCTACCCAATATCATTAGTAACAAACAGGGTATTAAAAGCAGACAGTCTTCAGTAAAAGCAAGGCAGAGAACAGAGAATTTGTGAGCCCCCCCTCCATATAAAAAAAATACAGCAGATGCCTCCTATTACAGGGATGATATATGGCAGCATCTATTGGCATTTCTGTACTTGTTCCCCGAGCATGTACTATTTACCATTCAAATACAGAGGCTGCAGTGCTGTCACTGTCTCATCACGGCTCTAGGTTATAGAACATTACGTGTTGCTGGCTTTCTCCATACTATCAGGTTCCCCTAATATTGTGAATTGCATACCAGCCTAATACAGATCAATGCTGCATTGTTCACAAAGCGCTGTAAACGCCACCTATGGGGACAGACGTTTGAGAGCTGCCCATGCTGACTTACTGAAGTACAGGCTTCAGGGTTGTCAAGTCTAAACTCCATGGCTTGTACTTATTCCAGGCCAATAATACTCCTGATAGTGAAGCCAGGAATAAGAATGACAGCCTTGAAGCCTAAACCTTTCATTTATTAATTCAGCAGTGGCTGCTCCCATATTTGTTTTCACAGGCTTCCTTTAAACGTGAAAACCGTGTAACCAGAGGGGGTTTGTTACCTACAGTAAGTACATTAATAATGCAGTGCCCACTTGTGCTATCATCATTGCTTTTCTACCCAAACAGAATCCTCTCATTTCATTGTAAAATCCTTTTGCCCCCCCTTGATGGAGCTCTCAGTGCAATCTCACTCTGCCTGGTCAGACACCAGCTCCCTCGGTACTACATGACTGTAATACAATGCTGAAAGTAAATGTCCCCTATAACGTGACATCACAACACTCCCCACTAGGTCTTACACAGCAGGTATGATGAGGCGAAGCACTAAACAAACATGCATTACAGAGAAGGAAAGCCATAAATCTAATCAAAATGAGTTCTTCTGTGATAGATCTAGGGAGAGTTAAAGTGTGCTTTCTAGCTGGTCTTTAAGGGAATATCTGAAAACATCACTAGACAGGTTGTACTCCTGTAGTGCTTCTGTATGAAAGCGTGCACCTGAAATATCCCCAGTATTATAACACCACATGGCCATTTCCAGTGAATATATGTTGCTGGCAATGCAGGTGTAGAAGGATGCCTGCCTTAGAGCCCATTCACACTAGGGCAGTTGCGGATTAGCGCGGTTAACCGCACTGACTTCAAAAGGGAGGTTTTGGAAGTTTTTCATTTGCGTTTGAAACGCAATTAAAAACGCCCCAAACCGCGCTGATCAGTGTGGTTCCATTGAAAGCTATATGGAAACCGCGCGGATCAGCGTGGCAAAAATAGTGCAGGGAGCAGTTCGGGTGCAGGCAGTTCGGATCGCACGGACTCGTGGTCCCATGAACGGTTACCATAGCAATGTATGGGATCGTTTATGTCGGCGGATCCACGTGGCCAAACTGCCCCGGTGTGAACGGGCTCTCAAAGTTGCATACTTGTGTGGGAACTGGCATTCCTACTAACAGACTCGGAGTGTCAGGTCATACATATACCTAATAATGCTTCCTATATTAGAAATTAATTGATTGGGTGCCCAGACATTTTAATTTCTCAATGGAAACCATGGAGCTGGGATCAAGAGCAAGCAAAGCCTTGTGAGTGGATCTGAATATTTTAAATCGCTATATAAAGAGAAAGAGGGGAATTTATCAAAGCTGGAGCAGCGGTGCATGGCAACAAATCAGTCTCTAGCTTTCATTTTCAAATCTTCACTGAACAAACTGAAGGGAGAAGCTGATTGGTTGCTCTGGGCAACTGCTCCAGATTTTGTCTGCTCAGGTTTTGATAAATTCCCCTCAAGGTGCCCTGTTGCTTCTGAAAAAAAGTAGTCAAAGCTGCTTTAGATTTTTCCAAAAAGTGATCCTGGTCTCTGAGCACAGTGGATCCTGTGTAGGACAATGTAACAATCAGATTCCAGCAGTTGCTCTGGGTGCATTAAGGTACTTTAAAGTGACACGGATGCAGCTCCACAGTGTATCCAAAGTTGATTTCCAATATCTTCAGTATGTCGCTTTTTGTTTATCAGGTGCGACTGAACCCAGAAGAATGTGCTGAGGTCATGAAACGATGGGTGGACCATCTCTGTTCTCCACATATCAACCAGAAATGTAAAGCAATCCTTGTTCTCCTTTCTCTTGGCTGCTTTAGAAAAGTAATAGAAATGTTACACAGGTAAATCCTCACTCACAAATGCATTTGTTTTGGACCCCGAGTACTTCTTACATATGCAAGGCTTGTTTGATTTTTATAGACATATTTCATACACTGTGTTCTCTTTTTCTTTGTTTTATTTCCCAGCATGAGGTGTTTTGATCGTGCCGCCTTGTTTCTGGAAGCCTGCCTGCGATGCTCAGCATTTGAAATTACTGACGAGTCTAATATCCTTTTCTGTGTTACGCAATATCATTTAATCACCTCTTATTCCATAGTTTGTTGCATGTTTTAAAGATAACCTGTCATTTTGTCCATAAACATAGACTTAACAGCCAGCATCAAGTCTTTGCCTGATGAAGCAAAGTGGTGGGAATGGGGCAGCATGTGGCTCACTCCCCTTCCCCTACCTGACAGCACTAGTGCTTGGTGATTAACCGCTCAGGCACCCATCCCTGTCACATGGGAATGGGAAGCATTATCCCTGTCTAACCTCTACCTAGATTTGGAGCTTGGGCAAAGCACAGGTGCACATCTAAGTTAACCTGACAAAAAACGCTGCCAAGCTCTGATTCCTTGGTCATAGAATGTTTGGAACAAGTAGATGTAGCTTTAAGTTACAGTAGTGGAGCTTTTCCTGTCTCATCTCCCGCATGGGTCTTTTGTCTGTACACATGGACTTTGGTTAAAGTGCTGAACTATGAAACCCACATCTAACAAGCATTTGATCTGCATGGCCTTTTACATCTCTTTTGGATGGTGCTCTGGGTACCATTTTCAAGGATGTTGCTGGGGGCAAGAGCACACATCTTCCTTAGCAGAAGAAGAAGCCATTTGCTAAGTCTTTTCCCTCACTATAGGTAAAGAAACATCTTTTTCCTTTCCAAACCATCCATATCCCCTATGTTTCACTCCCAAGTCCACCCACCAGGCCTGGGGTTCAACACTGTCCAAATCTCCTCACAAACCTTTCTCACCATCTAGGTGCGCCCCTACTTTGCAGAGTAGGGGGGACATTTGTTAACTTTTGGAGACATTTGGACTGGCATCTCAGACATCTGTGTGTGGTGGTCTCCAAGGGCTACAAGCTAAATTTTCACTCTCTGCCCCTCCTCTGTCTCATCTACAACCTTCCACACACGGATAATCAGATCTCTATCAAGCCCTCTTGGGTCTTCTGGACCCAGTTGTTGTTGTTCCTGTGGCAGAACAGTTTCAAGGATTCTACTCTAACTTGTTAACTGTTTCCTAAACCAAAGGGGCCATCTGCCGCATCTTGGATCTCAAGTCTATGAATGTCTTAATTCGTGGATAGAAATGCCACTTGGAATCCACCAGGTCTGTCATCTTCTCCCTTCCCCAGCGAAACTTACTTGCTTCACTAGACATCAAGGACGCATACCTACATGTACCAACGTTTCTAACATAGCATTTCCTACACTATGCCGTGGGACCCCTCCCCTACCCATTTGTGGTCCTACCTTTCAGCCTCTTATCTGCACCTCAGCAGTTAACCAAGGTGCTTGCCCCAGTACACATTCTGCTGTGCTCTCATGGGAGCCCCATCGTGGTATACTTGGATGACCTCCTGTTTGAGGGAACAGTCAGCGAATGCTCTGTTGGACAATGTGACCTTGACTGTCCACACATTAGAGGATTGGATGAATCCTGAACCCTCAGTAATTGTTGCTGAGACAGACTTGTTATTTGGAGTATCTTGGACTCTTCAATCCCAGACCTGAGATCTCCAGTTCAGGAGTCACCTGGCTCTCCTCATTTGCATGAGAGACTTGGGTCTGATGATAGCCTCCTTTGTCCCAGTTTCACTTCTGGATTTTTCAACATAACATTCATGGAGTGGACAAGTAATCCACTCCCTGGACAGACCAGGTTGTCCTTGGCTTGGTGGCTCAGAATCTAGCTCTGGAAATGGAGTAAGTCCTTCTTCCTTTTTTGTGGAAGAATGTCACTAGGGATGCCAGACTGTTGGGTTGGAGAGGAGTCCTGGGCCCTCTGTTGGTGCAGTGGACTTGGTCAATGTAGTCTCATCTCCCGTTTAATAATAACTTAACTGTCTTTGAAGCCAGACTGGATAACCTTCCAGCAGGAAGGTCCAGTGCTGCATTTGGACAATGATGGATTGCATCAACCAACAGGGAGGAAACAGAAGTCTTTTTGTCATAGCCTTGTCAGGAAACCATTATAGAGGAGCCAGAACTTCATGTATCAACCTTGTCCGCCATGTATATCCAGGAGTTGACAATTGGCAGGCAGACTTCCTTCGTCAGTAATATCTGGACTTGAGGGATTGGTCCCTACCCTCAGGCAGTGTTGCAGGATATGTGTCACAGGTGCAGAATGGCAAATGCAGACCTCCTTGTCTCTAGGTTCAACTACAGATTGGACAGATTTTTCTCCAGGTATCCTCTAGTGGAAGCAGTGGATGCTCTCGTGTCTCCGCGGTATCAGTATACCCTAATTTATGCCTTCCCTCCCCTCATACTCCTTCCTCTTCTGCTTTGCAGGCTCAAGCTGGAGGGCATTTTGGTTATTCACATTGCTCTAGATTAGCCCGGGCATATGTGTTATGCCAACCTGGTAAGACTCCTGCCGGACACTCCATGGGCTCTACCAGGTCATCTCTCTCAAGGACAGATTTACCATCCTGGTTCACTGGCTTTGATGGCATGACTGTTGAAGCCTAGGTTCTGAGAGACAGGAGCATCTTTCAATCGGTGATCTATTTGATGGACTTCATGGAAGGCATACTTCAGCTTGCTGTGAATCCCTGGGCTTTTACTCCAGGAGTTTCTCTGTGGGACAAATCCTCTTTTTGCTTCCCTGTGCCTTAACGGGATCTGGTTCTCTGCACTTTAGAAATTGCGATTTGTAACCTCTAGAGATATGTCTCTTTCTACTCTCACTTGAAAGGTGGTATTCTTGTGTGATCTCTGTGAGCTGAGTGTCTGAACTAGTGGTCTTAATCTGCAAACAACCTATTCTGGTATTACGTAAGGAAAAGATGACGTTGAGGCCCCAGGACTTCCTTTCACCTCAAACAGGGCATTGTTATTCCATCCCTTTGTCCAGCTGCAGTTCACCAAAGAGAAAATGTGTTCCATTGTCTGAATGTCTTTGGCACTGTGAGGGTCTCCGAGCTGCAGCTCCGTTTAGAAAAACTGATTCTCTTTTTATCAATCCAGATGTTTCACGTAAGGGTGCATTGCCTTGTTCTGCCATCTCTAAGTGGCTCAGACAGGCCATCATCTAAAGCCTATGGTCTCAAGGATCAGGTTCAACCCTTTCTGATCAAGGCACACTGCACTTGTGAAAATGCCCTGATATTATACTCTGATACCCGCACTTTACATTTTTAGATACAGGTGAAACTCGAATAATTAGAATATCGTGCAAAAGTAATTGCAGTAAGTGCTGCAAAAGGGGCCCAAACCAAGTACTGAGTACATATGCATGCTTGTACTTTTCAGAGGTCCGATATTGTTCTATGTACAATCCTTGTTTTATTGATTGCATGTAATAATCTACTTTTTTGAGGTTGTGGATTTGGGGTTCTTGGGGTTTTCATGAGCTGTAAGCCATAATCATCACAATTATGACAAATCACGGCTTGAATTATCTTGCTTTGTATGTAATGAGTCTATCTCATATATTTGTTTCACCTTTAAGTTGCATTAGTGAAATAAATGAACTTTGCACGATATTCTAATTATTCGAGTTTCACCTGTATATCCGGCTGTGGTAAGGTCCCGCACTTGCTGGAGACCTTTGCAGCACCTTCCGGCTAAACATCTCCTCCTTCCCATTGCCGGGACAGCCATGGTGAGACCATCCACCCGCACAGCCATGGTGAGACCTGCCACCCGCATCTGCCCGAACAGCCATGGTGAGACCCGACCCAGCACAACCCTAATGAGACCGCACTCTGCCTGAGAAGCCCTGGTGAAACCGCACACACTAATCATGGCACTGGGACTACTATGATTAATAAAAGTCAGCGAATAGATGACTTTATCAGGAATAGCGTATCTATAATGTAAAAAAAAAAGGCTTCTTTTGCGGAACCTTTTCTGAAACTGCTGGTTGTCTCTAGCTTCAATAACTTGTCACTGCACTGAAGAAAGTTATTTAGGCCATCAACTATTTGAAGCCCTTGGATGCGGTCAGGAAAATAACATTTCTCTTCATTATAGTAGGTAGGATCTTGACAGTCAGGAAAATGGCATGTTCACGTTCGGTCAGCCATGGCAGTCTACACATGTCTTGTCATTACAGTAGGTGGGATTGGATTTGTAGCATTTAGTTTTAATACAAGTAAATTACAGGGATCATTCCTTCACCTAGTTCAAGTCTGAATGTAGTCTAGACATCTATACATTTCACAAGGAAGCATACATCACAAACCGTACAATTTCAGCAAATTATTGTTTTTGGAAACCTGACCCTCGGGAACTTCCTGGCAAGTATACCATTTCTGCTGGATGTGGAGGTATAGGCGGCCACCTCAGTTATTTACCCAATTAAATAGGAAGAAGTGGAGCTCATTACATTCAGCATGACAAACTCGGTGGTAGAACTACTTCTATCAATAAATGATGTATTGTATAATGTGTCTAATTGCCTGTTTTCCTTAACCTCTGTGCACATAAACTGATCTCTGCCGTGTTTGCAGATTACGCACGTAGCCTGCGATCTCTAGGATTTACACAGGGAGCATTGCGATTTGCCAAGAAAGCAGGAGATGCCGGCACAGAGTTACTGTCTGAGCTTCAAAGCCACAAGGAAGAGAAGTGAGGATAAACTCCCTCTATTGAGAGAAGAACTGTGTACACTGGTAAATGAAGAGGAGGGGCAATCACAGAAGGTAGACGCTAGGACGGTCTGCAACAGTCTACAGAGTCTGACATTCATAGGAATATATGCAAAGACAACAGGAGATGCTATACCAACATAGTAACATTCCTATACTGCTTTTCCTCTTGAAAACTGTAACATATTGTAATACAGGTGTAGTAGAGATGTAATCGCCTACAGTGTCTGTCTTTTACTAATACATGTTCTGCCTTACAGAGCCAAATAATTCATATGTCACTATACAGTATAGCTGAGCAAAGCGTAACTGGACAGCCCCCAACTTTCAGTTTAGAACTGTCAGAACAGTAAATTAAAGTTGCTGGTTGTGGTATAAACCCACTGTACTTCATTTTTAAACAAGTCCAAGACCGTACAAAGGAGGCTTGTAGTATACAGGTAATGAGATTCAAGTAATCAGGAGGTGAGAACATTTCTTGACAAGTAATGTGTGATTTGTATATTGGTAATCAGTGTAACAGACCATTGTACATGTCAAGGTATTTATATATTGTAAATATGAGAACACCATCTTGTTAAGGGCATGCTCCATGATCCCCCTACAGAGAATTCCAGGATAATACTTGTCCACCACTTTCTAAAATACCAAATTAGTCAAATATTAACCAAAATAAGTGCATTCTACTGCTAAACAAGTGTTCCTTTAGTCAATGTGGGTTCTTATCTTTTGGCAACACCTTGATTGTAGTAAAATGCACAGGGTACCCAGGAAATGCAGGACATGGTACTTTCACAGGTTTATATTAAGGGGTCTGCTGATCATAATAGGATGAGACTCTATTCAGAACATCTATGCTTTTGGATGGAATCTACCAGAGCCACATGACTCCACCAAACAGCTGTCACTTCTCGCTGGTGCCAGTATTATATAATGGGTAAAATGATACACATCATACATACATTGAATGTCTATGAATTTGAACTGTTTCCTGAGTGAAAGGAAAGATAATAAATTAAATTTAAGAGTGAAAGTAAAAGTTCAACAATGCAAAATCTCACAACCAAAAATTGCAAACATGCTATCTAACACACATGAAGCATAATGACAGCACCATTCCTGAGTCCATCCAGCAGAAGTGGCTGTTCTTGATTTATGGTTGTTAGATGGGCCCTCTCCCCAGCATTCTAAGCGACACTTTAATAGAAGCTGTATTGCCTGTGCAATCATATCTTACTTGTGTGTGCCCAGTGAGTGATGGTACCTTGGCTTCTTTGGCTCTGATACGTACTGTTCTCTATTCCATGCCAGTAGATGAGGCAAAAGAGGTGCCGTTTTCATTAGGGACTTGTATGGTTTATGGCAAAGAAAAGCTTTTTGCTGTACGTGTGTTTTAACACTTTGTAAGCAGTAGTTACACATTAGCAATCCGTTATGGTGCGTTAATGTGCATTGTGTTGAGGCAGCACATTAATTATAAAAGGGCGCCAATGCACCACAACGGATCAAAAAATGTCCATGATTTTTTTTTCTATCAATGCAGTGCACCACAATGCAGAGTATGTTGTATATTGTGGTTAGATGTACTTTACGGTACAGTGTGTTGGAATGCCATTCAACGAATGGAACTGCAACCCGCCACACATAGAGCAGGTGCACTGCAGGAACACACAAGTGTAAATGGGCTCATTCGCAAGTTAATTACGGAAGCAACAATTTCTTGTTTATAAAGCCAAAGAATGACGCAACTTATGTGTCCCCATCTCAAATGAAGTATTAGTTTTGCATGTTTATGACCTTTTAAACATTCCTACCGTGTACCGCAGGTCTGTGTTTATTTCTGCCCTGCTTATGTTTCCAAGAAATACTGTAGTGATGACACCACTAGTGACTCTAGAATTCCTTCCTACGTAAATTAAAGATGACTAATTTACATTTCCACGATGCTAGATATTATTTGTGTTTTGGGTTTAGAGTGTTATGGTTTTACAGGGAAATCTTTGTGAGAGTGAATGAGAAAAAAGGATGCCTTAAAGTGAACCCACCGTCCACAGAGCATTAAAGGACAACAGTGCCTCCAGTACCATTGTCCTTTCATTAAATCCCCTGAGTACTGACCATTGGTAAAAATAGTTACCTTCCTCCTTGTTCCTCTGATCTTCACTGTGTAGGTTTGCCAAGCATCACACCGCCTTTGCAAGAAAAATGTCCCAGCTGGAATTTCTTCTATGGAACACACCCTCCAAAGCCCCATTTATTCCTATGGGTAAGCTGTACTCGGTGTCTTCCAGCCATTCAGTGGAGTATGTGGCTCATCAATACAAATTAATGGGACCTGGGCACATGTATTCCTTTGAAGAGGTCAGCGGAGCATTGGGCACATCCATACAAAGGGGTACAGGATACTAGACATGTGCGATTCGTTTCGTTCCGAATCGAAATTCGGACGAATTTTCGGACATTCGGATGTATCCGAATTCCGAATTACAGACATAACTAATGCAAACGAATCCGAATTTCCATTTCCGAAATTCGGTAGCGTTAGTGCGAACGTTCGTTTCGTTTTCTGTTCTTATTCGTTTCTTATTCGTTTCGTTCATTGGAGCAAAGTGACATTAGAGAAGGAGAAAAATATTTTTCCCCCCTCAAATGTCACTTTTGCTGCAAACCAATCGAACAAAACGAATAAGAAAAGAAAACGAAACGAACGTTCGTACTAAAGCTACCGAATTTCGTCCGAATTTTTTGGCAGTGCACATGTCTACTGGATACGTCCATGTACTGAAGATAACTGGAATGGAGAGGAAAGTGAGTGGGCTGTACTCGGGGGGGGGGAGCTGGTGGTATCTAAATAAATGACAATTCTACTAAAGATACAGGTGTCCTTTCAAGTCTCATATCAGGTTGTGATAGTGCAGCTATACTGCTATCCAAAGTATATGATCAATGGTTTGAAAATGCTTTTTAAAGTAAGCAAAGGAAGCGATCTAATCTTTACCCCTATCCCCGTTATCAATCACTTCAGCTCCATGCCAAGCTTATGAGACCTGCTATTCAAGTCAGAGCTGGTTCATAACTAACTCCATAACCAGCTATTTTTCACATTGGGAAAAAAGATGGTTCTCGCAGCAGTCTAATATAAGGCTCTGATGTTACCCTCCTGTTTGGGATACAGTATGCTGAACTGAAAGGGTGGTGCTAAATTAAAATGGTTTCACAAGCTATTACTGTGAAGATGGTTCTCATTCTTTATAAATTCTTGTCATTATTTATTGTAAATTGTATTAGTGGGAAGTGGTTGCTCACCAGTGTTTTATATTTGGCATTGCAGATTGGGAAGATGCATCATTGTTATATAGTTGTATCTAACCTGTGATGTATTAATTTCTGTAGTGTCCCCACACTTAATATACAGATTCAGTCAAGAATGTAAAATACTCTAGAAAGTACTAAGTCTGTAACCCACCATAGAGATTTAGTAGATAAATCTCTGTCATATGCGGTGAACTGTTTAAGTTTACTAATCATATTAAAATCTGAACTTGGAAAATAACAGTAGAAGCTAAAGTGTGAATCTAATAGGTTACTATGGGCAGGTAAGACTAAGGACTTATCACACACTGGTGCTTGGTGATCAAGTGACAATGCTCAAAGTTGTAAAACTTTCCTAACAGTATTCATTTCTCTACTCCAAACATAAATGCTTCACTAAATGATGGTCTGTATATTGTCATTCAGCTCAATACATCCTTTTGGCCCTAACATAGGGAACCAGTCAGCAGTTGTGGGGAAGGTGTGCCAGGCGCCCACTTTAACAGCACTTTAGCTCCCATGTCTATGAAGCATATTTAACACCCTGCAATATTTCTATTAGTAAGACCAGGTTTGCCCATTCATTAACAAGAGCACAATATCTGTATACAATTGGAGGAGCAGCCCAGAAGAATGCATATGGAATTAATGTGTTAGCTAGCAAGCAATTCAGTGGTGCCTTATAGATCGAAGTCTGTACAATTTAAATGTCGGTCCACACAAAAAGAGATTTATATTTCTTTCTCTTTCAGTGAGGGACCGTTGAATTCAGACGTTGTCTCGTTATACTGCTGCCTACGGGAGGATTGGAAACAGGCAAATAGTAAAATTGTGGGCCAGCCCAGGATAACCTCTCCTTTACCTACCATGTCCCAGTTTTTTGTTAGTGTCCAAGGAGAATGGATGCATTTTCTTCAGCTCTGCTGAGAAACGTCTGAGTTTGCTAGCATTTTTCTTTGTGTTTTTTTTTTAAATGACATTGTCTTCAGTCAAGATTCCTCACAATACTGCTGATTGAGCTGGGCTCCACATGGCAGATATATGGTTCAGCCTTTTTTCAGCTTGGCCATACTTGGGCCTTGCTGGGATGGATGTGCATGATAAAAGTTAGCCGCAGATCACTTTTCAGGTCTAAAGCTATGTTATTGCCTCAACAATTGCCCTGTCTTTGAGAACTCGCTTTGTTGAGTAGGCCATTTGGGCTTCCCATTGGGAGCTACTGTTAATAGCACTGCTGAGTACCTTCGACATTTCCAGCTATTCCCGTTTATACTACAGAAAGGTATAAACGGGAGGGACTGAGCACTGAGATCATTAGCTTGGTGAAGTGTCATGCTCTCTTTCCCGCTGTTCAACATAGTGGAAAAACTGTTCCGCTGCTGCTCCTGCTTTCCAATCTCCAATCTTCAGACTGTTCCTACAGTGATCAAGTCCCTTCCGGCTAACCGACTCTCATCATCCACCTGCTGCCTGGGCTTGTGAGTACCTGAGGCCTTGTTTCATATTTTGAGCCTAGTTGTGTAAATGCCAGTCACAACATGTCTGTATCTAGGGACAGCCCATTACCAAAAGGTGACCCTTACTCACACTCTCCTAACAGTTCTGGGGGTGATTACTCTGTACCCCCTGGGGGCACTGACATCTGTAATCCAGTAACACTATGGATTTTGGGTCTCTTTGGTGTCTCCCTTAGCCGTCTGGTAAGGTAGTGTGCACTATGCTGTCAGCGGCAACATCTAGTCCAGTCACACAAGTGTGACCAAATTCACGCAATTCCTCGCCGATACTGACCACATTTTGACTAAGGTTTCAGCATGTGTAACTGTCTGTCACCTGTAGGGAGGGTAACAAACTTAGTCCCTCACTGCAGTGGCCCACAGCATGTTTGCCTTAAGTCCCCTTGCTATCTAACAGGGAGTTTCCCCTTCCTTGCTGGAGCCCTGGACAATCTCTTTCTCAGAGATGTCTTGTTTTCATCCATCGCCTCTCGGTCTACTCTAGCCCCTTCCTCTGCTATTGCAGGCCTAGTTTCTGAGACTACCTGGTCAAAAGAGACACTCGGCCTCTCCATCAACTCCCCATAGCCTAGGGGTTTCTCTCATATAAGAGTTATCTCTGGGACTGCTTTCTAGACTTCCAGAACAGGTGGATTCTTCTGCATCATTGGATCTTCGGTTTGTACTCTGCTGGACACCATCTTGGAGATCACATCCGAGAATCAATGGGTGTCAGGACAGGTAGTCTGGTTCCTGCGCTGGGCAATACATTCCGTGAGTTTCAGCCTTACTTGCATTGGTCCCTTTTAAGAACACTCCCTCTTAACCAGTTGCTTCTAGACTTAGAGGAGAGGGGCACATAGTCGGTGGAGAGCCCTACGTCTCCCTGTATTGTCAGCAGGCAGAACTCACTAGTTTGCTCGCTCCAGATATTGGTGTTCCCATTCATGTAGAATTACTCCCTTGTGGTTGTGACCTTTCTTATCTGGTCTTGAGAGCATTGTGTTAATTGTCTGTGTCCTCCTTCAGGTCATATTTGCAGGTTCCTTTATCTGGTAGGGGAGTTGGCCTCATCTGATATCAGATATGGGCATTGATCCTGTTGCAGCCAGTCCACAGATCTGTTTTGTTGGGCATGTTAGTGGTTGTTGCGGAGTTGTCCGCCTCTCAGTTGGACTGCTTTTGGATTTCCCAACAGTAGCTGAATTCATGTATCTCACCCCTCTGTTTTTATTCATGCTCTTGGTACTGCTTGCTATAAACTGAGGCATGCTGGGTAGTGAAGAGGTTTATCCTAGGCTGGTCTACAACCTTTTTATTTGCCGGTGTCCAACCTTCCTGTCAGTATAACAAATATCTGAACTCCTGTTGATGCTCAAATATTAAACCACCTCATGTCTTATATTATTGGTGAAAGTGATCTTGATAGTTTGAGCACTTCAGTGATGTCATGGCCAATACTAGCAAGACTCGCTCTCCCTGTTGGATTTATTGTTTATTTTATATACTATAGTGCCGTAGGAGGTGTGGCAACACAAACACCAAGCTGAGGAAAAATAGAGACAAGATTTATGCAAACGGAAACCCACCATGGGAGTCTCCCACAGATATATGAAACTAGCACACTACCTAGCTTTCTATAAATCATCCAAAATCAAAATATAACTTTTGGCTTTTAAAACTATCACATCGTTTTCAATGTTAACACTATAGGAATGCAACTATACTTGGAAAATAATATTCCAGTGCTGCTGCCCATATGGACAGATAATGATTTGCTGACGATGTCTGTTGTGTTAACAATGTGGGTCCCGACATTTACATAAAAAATGTATAGACTTTGTCTGATAAATATATACAAGTAACACCAAGTGTGTGAGCTTTGTAGCAATTTGTAATTTAACTGTGTTGGGTGGTACTATAACTTTGTTAATGCCGAAGACTTGAATACATTCCCTTGTTGATTTCTGTTTAAATCAACGTAATAAAGAAATTAAATGTTTCTGTGCTGCTTGTGTGTTGTGTCTCAACTTATAATGTGCTGCACAATGTTATAGATTGAAGGAGTAACTAGTGCCATTTACTGATATTTCTATGAAAATACCCAAACACATTGGATTGTAATAGATAGGATTATATTATAAAAATAATCTAAGTAGCCAGAGAAGGAAACATTAATGAGCATATTCTTCTAGGTTGTGCCAAAAGTGATGCAAAAGATTTTACTTTGAAAAAAAACAAACAATTGTACATGGTGTGTTTCGTTCACCCAGGATAACCGGCGACTATTAACCTGTGTGAAAATTATGTGTGTTTGGGGAAGGAGTGGAGTGCCATGAAGTGCACATAAGCATTGGAGTAAAAGATATATAAATCTTAAATGTCCACTCCTCCTCATAGTTAGAGCCGACCTGTGACAAAGAAGCTGTTGCAGGTCGGCAGTATCGATCAGGAAGTGAGCAGAAAACATGCAGCCAAACATGCAGTCTCCCTGCAATGCGCATTGACTGCTGACCCCGCAGGGATTCCCCCCTCTGATCCTCCAGCACTGAGTGGCAGAATGAACGGGGGAGGGGGGTGTACACAGCTGTATCTGCCTCTAGATAGGCAGAGCCAGCTGTCACTCATGCAGCTGGGTGGATCTTGACAGTATTGTCGGGATGCGTCCTGGCTACGGCACTCTCGTTATATTGCCCGCGATATACTGAGCTTTGGCTCACAGGAGGAGGTTAGTATATGTCCTCCCGTGACCCTAAAGAGAACTATGGGGAAAAAACACTTACCCCATAGTTCTCTTTTAACCCTTTCGCTGCCAAGGACGTACGGCATACGGAGCTACAAAAGTGCTTCCAGCTGGCCAGCTCAGTATGCCGTATGGACCTGGCATTTACAGTTCTACTATAAGCTGATGGTCGCTTTAGCCCCCGCCGGCACCGCCGCTGCATCTGGAGTCTCTCATCCCTCCCTGGAGCCATCCCAGGGAGGGATGAGAGACTCCATGGATCCCCGCTGCTTGTAGGGTCTGTGGCAGCGGGGATCCGTAAAAAAATCACAACTTGTCTCATTTACCCTCATTGGGTTTAATAAACACTATACTACCAGAGTTCCATACATACATATCCGGAACTGCCATGTCATAAAACCTGAATTATTGTCTAAGAGACGCATGCAGGCTGCCACTGCTAACACTTTTGAAAATTCTACTTGCTTACAAAAAATAGGAGCCACTAAAATCAATTTATAACTAGCATGGGAAAGTTTACAAAGCTGGAAAAAAATTGTCAATGCTCAGCAAATTGTCCCATCCATTTCTCTTTCCCTTGCTAGTTAAAAATATGTTTAAGGCTGCCCTATTTTTGGTTTGTTGGATTTACTACAGACACACTGGGGGTCTTCAGTCACCTTGAGTGAGTCTAGGCGTGTGTTGTGTTCCTGTGCCCATCTACAGGTAAGTCTGTACTTCATTTATTAATCTTTAAAGTTCAGAATTAGGGTTCCCAAATTAACTTAATGTTAGAAATGGTTTATGGTTAGACTTTCTATGCTGGTTAGCTGGAATGAGTGCTGGGGCATATTTATGATGTTCTTATGCTCGTCCCACCAATGTGCAGCTTTCCTTTGCTAGTTATAAATTGTGTCTTGGCATGCAATGTGACTTTCCTAATCTTTAAAACAGAGGCATTTGTTGTATACATTTGTAATCTAAATTAGGTGTATGCAACCTTGATGAAACTACAAATCCTATCATGTCTTTGCCTCTGCCTCTGGAAGTCATACCTGTGGTTGTAAGAGGCAGATGCAGAATTCCTTTACATAATTGTGCAAATGTTTGCAACAAAAACCTGTTTCATAATCTAAATTTTAAAATAAAGTAATCTTGTTCATAATGAAGTAATATCTAATGACTAGCTGGATCGAGTGAAATATTTGTAATGCTCTTATTGCCCCAGGCGTTAACTTTATCTTTGATAGTTATACATTATTTTATGACACTTTTTGCCATGTTTTAGATGCGCTTGCATTAATATGTATAGAAGACGAAAACAAGCAACTCTGAATGTGAGTAAACACCACTCCATAAGATCCAAGTGACATGGTACATTCCACATCTGTAAAAATGCTTTACCAACTGATGTCAGGGTTACTCTGCACAGACATTTGTTTTGTTCCTATATGTTCCTTTGTTCCTATATTTTCCGGAAGAACGACATGCATGAAAATATATACAGTGTTACAAAGAGGCTTTATCCACTGAGTAAGCAAGTGGGAGCTTATTTGTATTTTTTAAATGAGTTATTTGTACTGTGTTTAAGACACAAATGCCATCTACAGGTTGTATAGCAGAAGGCAAATCATTCTTTATAGGCCGCTTGAGAACATTACTAACACCTTAAAATGTGTTTCTGGATCCGCCTAGTCAGAATACCTAAGCAAGACAAATGTGTTTTCGAAATTAAGAGCTATCCTTCATCAAAAATAGACATAATGATGCAGGGCTGCAACAACTAATTGATCGACAATAATCGATTACGAGAATAGTTGGCAACTATTCTCATTATTGGTTAGTTGGTTGCTTGCATCTCTCTCTCCCCCCAATTGATTAGTTGAAAAAATAAATCGGGAAACTAATTGATTATCAAAGTAATCGTTAGCTGCAGCCCTATAATGATGTTTAAGTGTTGTAGATTACTGCACATTGCCTTTATAAATTAAAGCCCAACTCAGCCAAAAAGTTAAAACAATAGATATGTATCATCAAAAACAATTTTTGTTGGCGCACATTTTTCATTCCCAGGTCACATGGATAAAAAGATCCTCCAGCAGAGTCCCAAACAGCAACAAAAAGCCAACAGAAGTTCTAGTCCTTCCTCCGGCCATATGTTTTGGATTGAGTCGTGTTTTTAAAGTGTTTGCCCAGAAAGGCTCTTAGAAAAACAAAGGTTTCTGTGGAAGTTTCACGTTAAGCTAAAGTTGGGATATGTTAGAACCTTGGTCCGGTTTGTACTACTGTATCCCAGTGAGTAGATTTCCCCTCACATGAGTGAGGATTGGAGAATGAGGGCAAATATTGGTCATAGGGAAGCAAATGGAAATACAGCACATGTTACTATAGTAGGATGGGTTAGAACTAGAGGTGCACCGAAATGGAATTTTTAAAACCGAAACGAAACCGAAATAATAAAAATGTCAGGCCGAAACCGATACCGAAAATGTTTTATTTTTATTCAATTTTTTTTTTTACTTTTTAAAAAAATTATATTTTTATTTATTAATTTTTTATTAAATATTTTTATTTTTTACTTTACTTTTAGGGAAATTAATTTTGTTAGTTAATTAAATTTGTCACTAAATTTTGGGATTTAATAAGGAGTTGCGCTAATATTGCGCAACATAAAAATTTTCAACTACCACCATTTTATTCTATAGGGTCTTGGCATTCAGAAAATATATAATGTTGGGGGGTTTTACATCATTTTCAGGCCTAAAATGTGGAATATAACATGGGTGCAAAAATTGAAAAAAGGGCCTCAGTCATGAAGGGGTTAAATAATATTAATGGTGTGTTGAGAGAGATGGGGAGTTATATGAATCTCTTAAACACTGTCGCAAAACAAGCACACTGTAAGTGGTAAGAGAACTTCTGATCACCCTGTATTCTCTGGGCTGTAACTCAAAGTGCTGAGGTCAGAGAGTCAGACAACTAGAGATCAGCAATGACTGCCTACATGATTATTTCAGCTCCAGCCCCTTTAAATATCACCTGGCATTTCATGATGGTGGCACTGCTTGGAATGTAGCCTGCACCTTTCTTCTTATGTGTGCATGGAACTTCTGTAACTGATATCATTTATAAGACTGTCTTTTCTCTCCACGTCTTTAAGCAATATGCTCCTCATCACACAGTAAGCACACATTACTCCTTCACCTCTTTATAGGTTTCCCAAGCTAAAATATTATTATTTATTTTGTCTCATTTGCATGCCCTGTATTATATATTACCGGTAATTATTTATATATATATATATATATTATGTTGCTGAAGGATGTGATGTGTGGCTCAGGATCAAGTGACAAGTTTAGGTAAACAAACTAAAGCATGAAAACAGGAGGGGGAGACCTTGAGGTTGAGCAACTTGAACTTCCCCATCTTGTAAACAGGAAAACACATGAGGAGAGAGGCTTCTCCTCCAGGCCAATTCCCTAGGTCAAAATAAAATTCTACAACTAGAACAAATTGTGTCACATTGCTTACAAACCGATCTATTAACTATGTATGTGACTGCTATATCAGTCAATAACTTTGCTTCAGGCTCTGGAGGCTTGCTACAAAATCTACACAGCAAATATCAGTAAAGGTATGGCATATGATAGAATATCACCTTCCGCCCGTAAAAGTTAGCTCTATCTATCACATCACCGAAAATCTGAAAAATGATCCCAATTCCGTGTGCTAGAAAAGTTGCTGCAAGAACCAAAACCCATCTTAAAGCAACCTATTATCTAGGCTTCACACGGTTTGAGTAAACATATTCCTCTCTATTATTCCCCTGAATGAAAATGATAGGCCCCTTTCACATGAGCAATCTGCTCGGGTCCGTCTGTCAGTTTTTCAGCCGGACGCTCTATGCAATTCTATGGGCAGCCACGTGTAAACGGATGAGCGTCCATTTACACCTGGTTAGC